AGATAGCCCTCGTGTAGCTTTCATCCGTGGGGGCGTTATAATTCGTTTGTGAAAGAGTATACCAAGAGTTAGCGGTGGGTGGCAATGACTAGCTGCTTTCTCTCTAATCTTTCACTGCTAAATTAGGGACGGCTAGCGCCGTGTAACTTTGCGCGAAATTCAAAACAAACCAAATCGAATCATTGCCAATATCGAATTCTTCAGTGAATTTTTCTCGTCATTCCTCTCTAAATAAAATGTTTTCTTTAAAAGTTATTTGGATACGTAGAACTCGTTTGTCCAATAAAGGTTTGTATAAATATATATATATATATATATCCTTCTCAGATTCAAAGCCAGGCAAATGTAAGAATATATCTTGAAGTAGACTCCAAAGCCTCCAAATAGTATTATCACAAATAGTATTATAAGTCATCCAATTATCCCCTCAGTGGGTCAAGGGTAAGCCTTCGGACATACAATGCTAACATCCGAGATTCGATCCCTGCAGATGAAAGAACGCCGGTAACCCACTGAGTATTTTGTCTGTAGAATTTATCTACGATATTAAGACCACATTTTCCAACTCACTAAAAGTGTTAGGTTAAATAACCAGTTGCAGTTAGCATATGAAAATATCTGCCAAACCGAAACTTAGTTAAAAACGGTATATTACACATTTAATAATCTTAGTTATAATATTACATAGTGTAACAAAATAAAACTTTAATAACATAACTTTCATCTAACCAAATACCGGTTTTAAGGACATAATAGTGTTGATTTGTTTCAACGACCAAGTATTTCATTTTTAAATGTATTCACATTTATTCATATATAAGAACAAAGAGTAGTGAAGTATGAAACGACAAGAAGAAGAAGAAATAAGTATGAATATAAAAGACAATGCCCAAAATATTCTATTTCAGTTAGAAACGTTTTAAAAAAATAGAATTTATATAGCTGAGTAATAAAAACAATATTTCAACATTCTGAATAAACACCAGAGAGGGAGAGAGGGGGGTAAAGTTATAGGATGTTTTTGTTTATTGAATTTCTCGCTAGCCGTTCATAATTTTGAAGTGATAGATAAGGGGGAAAACAGCTAGCCTACACTGCCCAGCGCCAATTCG